GGGGTCCTTAAATGGGCCACCCCATATATCAATCGACACTGTCCCATAAATATGTGCGGTTTATATTTACTATAATAAATGTTGCCTCAGTTGTTGACCTGACAAAAGCAGAATTGTCTTATTTTGTAATCTTCGTGTCAACCTTTCCAAATTTTCTAACCTCTGAGTTTTCTGGAAGTAACTTCAGGAATTTTTTATGGATGATCTGTTGGCATAATCAATTTTTAGAATTTTTTTCAAACTTTTTATAGAGCATTGAGATTAAAGCATTTTGTATAAATTCTATATCAAAAAATTTCTAATGAAATAAAACTAAGCTGGTTACATCTTTCATTCTAAAACAATCAATTTGAAACTCTGTGCCCACCAGTGGTCGATGGTTTTGTCCACTGACCACTGGTAGTCGGTTGCAGGTTTGCGCCTTTTCAATGGGCTGACTGCATGGCATTTTCTTAGTTTTACTCACATTTGTAGAACCTAAATAGAGCCCAATTTTTTATAGAATGTCCCTTCCTGTGGCAGATTGCCCATTGCCCATTACAGATTGTTGGGTTGCCACATCAAACCAAACCAAAACTCTTGTATTATCAAATCAAAATTGTAGACCTATAAGTTCCTACTGTCATTTGTCTGTCTGTCCATAATCTCAAACAAAGCTAGACATGTGAAAACCAAGACCAGATTTTGAAAGCTGAGGAGCACGAGGCCCCAATTAACTATACATAAACTTCCAGTTTAGACCAGAAGTTATGTGAATTCAATTCAAAAATTTTCCCCTGAAAGGAGTTAGATAAGTAGCCAGCATGACTCTATTGCAGATAGAGAGGGCTGTGGATGTTCAGACATGTTGCACATCTGAGGTATGCTCTTGTATTCTTCTCCTCATAGAACGTCTAGTGGACCCGATGTACAGGAAGTCCCTACAGCATCTGGTGTCACTGATAGGGACACGGTATACACTAGGAAGTCTTCTAAGGTTGGGAGGATTTCCATTTTGAAGAATGTTGAAAATAGACTGGCACATCCAAAAAGTGATACAAAATTGCACATTTCCTGGCAATTTTTGTAAATAATGAACTTAGGCAGGGATTGGAGTTAACACACACTTGTTCCACTTTCCCACCATGGTCTGTTATAGATGTCTATCTTACGCATGAATTCTGGAGGATCTGGTGGAATTGATCCACTAGTTGGCATACAACTGTTCGGTAACCATGAGCAATGGCTAATTCTTCTATTTGCACTAATTCAGCATCAAATGTTTGGGGGATAGAAAAGTGGGTGTGCATATCCTTCTAACCAATGCTTTGCGATCTTGTAAAGGTGAGGATCACACGACCCTGCTGGAATGTATGAAGACGTCGAACCTGGCTTGCAAAATACAGAGGTACAAATCTCAGACCTGTTTACAGCGATATTGAGAGACAGAGAATAAGGTCCTCCTCAACATTCTTTTTCACAGGAGATATATTGAGGACATTATTATTTTTGGAAGACAGTTTCAAATTTGATGGCCTTTGTGACTTAGGTCAATAATAATCCATACCGGTTGGTCCGAACAATCTAGCCCCTCAGAAGTACATCAATATCACTATAAACGAGTTGAAGATTTGCATCTCGTACTTCACAAGCCAGGTTCCATGTTTTCATACATCCTGACAAGGTCACAGCCTACAAAGTATTGGTTAGGAGGGCTTTTACCTTTCCTCTCTTCTACCCCCAAGCACTTGATGCTGAATTAGCCCAAATAAAAGAATTAACCATTGCTCATCATTACTGAATGTTAATACATTGTATGCCAATTAGTGGATCAATTCCACCAGATCTCCATAATTCATGCCTAAGATAGATATCTATAACAGACAATAGTGGGAAAATGGAACAAGTGTGTGTTACCTTCAATCCCTGCCTAAGTTCATTATTTGCAAAAATTGCCTGGAAATGTGCAATTTGTATCACTTTTCAGATGTGCCAGTCTATTTTCAACATTCTTTGAAATGGAAATGACCCTCCCAACCCTAGCAGACTTCCTAGTGTATACCATGTCCCTATCAGTGACACCAGATGCTGTAGGGACTTCCTGTACATCGGGTCCACTAGACGTTCTATGAGGAGGAGAATACAAGAGCATATCTCAGACATGCAACATGCCAGAACATCCACAGCCCCCCTCCATGTATACAGAAAGCCCTGAAATAGTTGCAGACTTCACACAAGCCAAATCCTCAACATTGCGCACAGAGCATCTCAGATGGTTGGAGGCCACAGAAATTTTTAAAACTAACTGACTCATCTTGTGTAAATTTTAAGGAGGAAATGGTGTTGTTGATGGCAGTGTTTGTTTTTGTATTATACACACCAGAAATTGGTTCAGAGTGTGTTGTTATATAGAATAGAGCATTACATCAAAGCTTCCCATCATCAACGGTCAGAGGTTTCATATTTCAATCACTTTTACCATTATAATATGTGATTTCTTTTACTTGATTCCATATGCCCCGTTTGCCATTCTTTGCAGATGCCCACGTGGTATAAGAATTTTGGATTGGAAATTATGGGTAAGTAGTACCCTAATACAAATTTGGGGTCCTCTGACAAAACAATCTGATGACGTTGATAATTTTCCAGCAATAAAATCCATTCTTCAATTGTTTAGGAAGAAAATAAGCAAAGGAAAGTTTGCAATTTTTTAAATTAAATTTTTATTTCTTAACCAAATATTAATTTTACACAAGATAAAACAAAAAATTATTACAAACAATTTGAAATGAAAGCCGAAATAAATTTTAATTAATTGAAACAAAAAAAATTCTCGAAGACACGAAACTATAATTGTGCACAGACTATTGTGTGTAAACAGAGAAGCATTTCCTCTTCCATTTGTTTCAAAATCTCCAGAATTTTCAAAATAATTCCAAAGACCAGAATATGGATTGCCGAAATGATTTTCTGTAGAACTGGCAATGAAAGATTGGAACAATTAAGATGTTGTAATGCTAGTAATTCTTCCATCGTCCAGCACGTCCATTTCTATTGTTTTGTTCATTCGTTCTCAGAAAAATTCGATGAGGGAAGTTTTTCGTAATTTTGATTACGTCGACGAGACGTTCGGCAGATGAGACAGAATATACAGCAGGCTAATGAAAAAGACCAAAGAGAGTTGCGTGACTTTCCCGGCTGTTATGAGTTTTTATTTTAAAAACTTCTATAATATTAAGCAAAATAAATAAAATTGTGTGTGGCGCCATCTCTTATCACGTTTTGTTATAAAAACGTTTTATATTTTTAATTACAGTAGAGCCTCGATTATCCGACACCTCGGTTAACCGACCGTCCTAGTCGGCAAATTTCAAATGTCCGCTAGTGGTGTGGCGCTACAGTATGTGGCTATGTCTTGGCGACTTTAATATTATTTTTACGTGTTTTAGCTGGCAACACTAGATCGACCATGAAAGGGAGCCAGTATTTAAACGAGGCTTAATTTTTAATTTGTAACGATACAACAGCGACGATTATTATTTTAAAAAATTTTTGTTAAGCTTAACATCGATGAAAATTCAACGCGAAGTAGGTTAATAGCGATATACTAATTACATGGGATATAATAATATACTACACTAATAATGGATTTTTTCATACTTTTCGGTTATCCGACTTTTCAATTATCCGAACAACCCCAGTCCCCCAATTGAGTCGGATAATCGAGGCTCTACTGTACTATAAAATGGCAAAAAGCTTAATTTTGTAGGTAGAGGTGAGTTTTTTAAGAGTGTAAATGATGATTTTATTCGTTATTAAGTTCTATGCGTCTCGAAATACATGACCCCCTCTATCACCCCACCCTTTCGACCTTTCACTTCCAAAATTTAATAGCATCAATGCCCCTCATATACAAGCCACCGTGTCAAATTTCGTTTCCACAGTTCCAATACTTTCCCTTGTTATGTATTCATAACAGCCCGAAAGTAATACAAAAATTGCTGTCAATAATAATGGTTGCTTCCGATGTTGGATACGAACTCGTGGAAGTCACCCGATCGTCGTTGTGTACGGGAAATGTAAAATCTTTGCAAAAAGGAAAAACGATTATTAATAATTATTTAATAATTATGCATGATATATTTTGAAATTTTATGCGGAAAATTAGAAAATAGTAATTAATAGAGAAGTTACTTTTACTCGTGGCCAAATTGAAATCTTCATACGAAGTATTAATTACGATAATGTATTAATGTTTGAGGCATCAAAGGGTATAATCTGCCACTTCGGGGGAATACGGGTTCGAATCCGGCTCGGATTATCGGAAATCTTTGCGCGTAATTCGGTGGAGATCGGTCGGGCCCCCTCGTCTTAATTAAGTAAAATGTCGTCATTTTTCTGCACGCTAGACGCTACGCGCATGAACTTGAATCCAGATTTACGCATTTTAGCGGATTGCGTTCAGAAAACTTTGGAAAATGGTCCCGACCGCGTAACCGTAGATGATCGGATTAATGAACATATATATATATATATATCCATTAGAGTCAATTGGAGTTTCAGGAGTTTTTCGGGGGTGGTCGGTTCGGATATACCGGGCCAAGTCTTTCATCATTTATTTTTAAAACTTTACTCCCCGTAGGCACTAAGAAGGCCTTTTTAGCAAGCCCACTATGGGTCCGGCACCCACACGATGGAGCGGCCGGGTAGTAAAGTACGAAGCCCGACATGTTCGGACGTGCTTTCCTGCAAAATTCCCGAGGTTTTCCGATCCCGACGCAATCGATTTCGGATCACCAGAGCGACACGCTGCCACATTTACCGCTCGTTCATCCGGCCGACCGCGTAATATACCCACGCTCCCATTTAAACATTTATAAACAGAACGCGTTTAAAAATAAATAAATAAAATAATAATTCGCATAGAACGAAACATCTATTTAAAAAAAATAAATAAATAAAGATTTGTAAAAATAAAATATTTCGATTGATAAATACTATCTAGCACAGTTGGCAACACTTAACCGCAGTACGCATCCAAACTCGAAAGTTGAGCGATTGGAGGATTGGATGTTTAGCTATGACATATTTACGGGAGATAGGTCGAAATTATAGATTATAAATAATTTAAGGGAAGTAGTTAGATTATAGAATAGAAAAGATGCCTCCAGGTTTACTTAAACCCGGAGCTAAATGTTCCTTTTGTGTACGATTATTCAAATGGTTTCCAGTCATCTTCATAACTACGATCGTCGCTTGGTCCTACTACGCTTATGTCATACAACTGTGTTTCTGTAAGTATCGGCTTTCCTCTTACGTTCAATTCGCCACAAAATCCACGCAGTGAGTCATTTTCTCCAATAGCTAACTTCTTATCTGTCATTATTAATAACTGAGTAATTTCTCTGTATGTAGGTGTCAACAAACTTCTGCTGAATAATTTACCTGTAAATTCTTAACTCTTTACATAATTATTTTGATATATTCAATTATTAATTACTTGGAAAGTTGTATGTAGAACGTAAATATGTTATTTCGTATTCTAAATATATATACGTGCATATTTAGAGTGTGAAGTTTGCCTGAATAATATATGTAACTGCTTTTGTAAATCAATGATCTTGCTGTGAATAAATGCATTTTAGTGACTTGGAAGTGCTTCGCTTTTCCGGCGGAGAGCTGGGTTTCGGATGAAATTTTAATGGAGTTTATGTAAAATGCGCGAATTCTATAATAGTCGGAGGAGTATTTGCGCGTTTGTTGCCGGAACCGGATGTTCTCTTATTTGGTTTAAGTGCTTTTGGTCGATGCGTTTTCGTTTCGACGCCGTTTGTTAATTACGAACAGTTTCCGTACCGTGTCGGGGATCGGTACTCGATATCCTTCGCCCCGAGGCATGCGCCTCGGGAATTGGACGAGAGGTATCGAAAGGAGAGTGCGTGTAATTATTTGAAAAATAAATTGTAATGGCTAATTTATTAGAGCCTGGTAAGGGGGTGCTAAGAGGAAAGGTGGCTGGTGGTGGTGGTGCAGATGCTCGTGTTTCGTTGGTGTCCCAAACCTCTGGAACGAGAGAGATAGCGTCGGGATCTTAGTTTGCCCCAGATGACGGAGCCTAGTTGTGCATCCGATTAGCTAGGTTTTGCTTTTTCTGTGGAACCTTCTAAAACATGTTCACTATTAGATGCAATGTGCAGGATCTACTTATCTTTATATTTTCAATAAATATGCTACCACATTAACCAAGGACTATAATATATGAAAATTAGTGTTACTCCCTAGGAATGCGTAAGAGTAATTGAAAATGTCAAAATTCTTTAATGTAATGTTTATATGCAATTATGTGAAGTATTATTTAAGATTAATAAAATAACAGATTTAGAAAATTTATATTAATAATAATTAATATAAATTTTCTAAATCTGTTCCTTGTGTAGATGTTTTTCATTGTCTGATTCATTTTATAATGTTTAAAGAAATCTGTATGAAAATTATTTAAAAATTTAATCTGAAAAAATAAAATTTAGAATGTATTTATTGAATCATGGGAATTGTTTATCATCTAATGTTCTCTGAGTTAGCACATCCCAAAACATAAGATACACTTACAAAACTTTATTTACTTTAATCAAGTTATAGCTATCATTACCTTTGGGTAAATAGGCAAAATTTTTTATTTATGTTCTAATTGTGTTATTTTATGGCTGATAATGAACAGTTGTTATCTGTTATCATTGTCAGCCAAACCAATGCTTTAAATATTATATTTAATTACTTGTTCCCAGTATATTAATTAAATTATTTCAATTATTTTCTAGATGAAATACTATTAATTAATAAATCTTGATATTATGCATAATTTAATTGTTTAAGCATGTCCTTTAAAATGTTAATGAATAAAATCAGAATTTCACTATTTGCAGTCTTAATTACTGACTTCAGTTAATGGTACGATTATTATTAATAGTATTAGTATAGGCGAGTTCCAAAATGATTACAGTAAACAGATTGTATTGTAATAAATTTTATCAATTATAACTACAGTATGGTCTTGTTTTATGCGGGATTGATATACACAGATTCATGTTTTTGAATATGGCAAATGTGATCAAGTTAACCCTTGGATGTGCAAGGATGATTTTGACTATTAATGCTCATGCTAAAGAAAAATGTTCAACATGAACTAGAAGCAGTTCAAACAACCTTTTCTTCATTTCCATCAAAAATCTTAATAAATAGAAAAATGTTTTTGGCCTAATTTATAGGCCAACATCAGGTGTAAACAATACCAAAACATAAATTTCTTACATTTTATTTGGAATGTTCAATAAAATGTTCAATGTTCATGAAGTTCAATAAAATTCTAAATTTGGTAAATGTATCGTGCAACTTCTTATCTAAATAGAATGTAAGAAATTTATATTTTGGTATTGTTTACACCTGATGTTGGCCTATAAATTAGTCCAAAAACGTTTTTCTGTTTATTAAAATTTTGCTGAAAATAAAAAAATAGGATACTCTTTGTTGAATGCCAATGCTGACTATTTTTATTATGAAATTCAGTATATATAGTAAAAGCATAAGTAAAGTGATTTAAACATGTTTTAATCATTCTCTGTTCTTCGTAAATGCTTGCGTAAGTTTTTAGGCGATCGTCTGGGACTACTTTCGATGTGGAAACTGTGGAATTTCATATTATGTAGTAGCTGCTGACACAATCCCTGCACAAGATAAGAACATACTTCATATTTCTTTAGAATGTTATTTGAGAAGGCTGTTAATTCTATGTTAGCATATAGTTATTTTCTTTGTCCTTCCTATCGTTTTGAGTTAATAGACTTCCATAAAAATAGATTAGATTAATATAATTTGGTAAAATTATACTTGTACTTAATTTGCTTAAATTGTTAAAAACAATCTTGAGTTTATCAACATGAATAAAGAATAAATAAAAATATAATTGTTTTCAGTCAAATTAATAATATAATAATTGTTTTTATCAAATATTATATTTAAATGCAGTTAATATTAGATCAGTATCAAACATTTTTAATGAACAGAACTTGTAATGAATATGGAAGTGATTTGACTAATTCCGGTAATGTTAAAATCTTGGATCTGTATCTTGTGAATGACTCAAGCTGTGATTGTTTTCTGACATGAAGGTTGAGATTTGCCAGATTGATTAAAGAAATTGCAAATTGGGATACTTCTTAAGTCTTGTAACTTGCTAAAATAAAAAGATGAGTATGTAGAAAGCAACTAAAATGCTTACAAATTTCATAAATTCAATAATTAAGAATGCAAAAAAAAAAAAAAAATATAAGTGTAGAGAATGTCAAACATTTCAAATCAAAACAGAGATAAGTACCATAAAATAACACAAATAAATAGGTTAGACACCATTGGTTTGGCATTATAACATTTGATAGAGTTCTTCTTAATCTGAAGATAGTCTTTTAATAAGACCAAAAAAGTTTCTTATTAAATACTATTGTTTTGCTGTTTATAAGGTTGAATGTAATCCTGTAATTTTTTTTATCATCTGAATTATGCATATTGAAATTATTATGAAAGTAAATATATGAACATAAGGAGAATTGTGTTGCTACTGTGTACTTGGAATAATGCAAAAAATAAATTTCTTGTATCCATATTTTAAAAGCTGGTGCACTTACAAAATAAAAAAATACCATGTACTGTAGCAACATTCTCATCCTTAATATGTCATTTAACCATAATGTAAGGATGCTTATTGTGCATGATCAGCATTTCACAGAACTTTTTCCATGTGTACAGAGCATGCCCATTCATTATGTCTGTCATTTTGTTTCTCAACATGTCACCAAACTTAGCTCCATGCAGTGGAAGCACCTAGGTGTTTTGTTCAAGAAGTAGTTTAAGGTAGCCCAGTCAACAGCTAAGATTCTTCTCATGGTGTTCTGGATGCCAAGGGATGTTGTTTTACTGGATTTCCTGGAAATTGGAACTGTAAATGCTGACAGGTAGATACTAACTAAAAAATAAACCCGTCATTCTACATTAGAGGCCAGGAANTACTTATCTTTATATTTTCAATAAATATGCTACCACATTAACCAAGGACTATAATATATGAAAATTAGTGTTACTCTCTAGGAATGCGTAAGAGTAATTGAAAATGTCAAAATTCTTTAATGTAATGTTTATATGCAATTATGTGAAGTATTATTTAAAGATTATTAAAATAACAGATTTAGAAAATTTATATTAATAATAATTAATATAAATTTTCTAAATCTGTTCCTTGTGTAGATGTTTTTCATTGTCTGATTCATTTTATAATGTTTAAAGAAATCTGTATGAAAATTATTTAAAAATTTAATCTGAAAAAATAAAATTTAGAATGTATTTATTGAATCATGGGAATTGTTTATCATCTAATGTTCTCTGAGTTAGCACATCCCAAAACATAAGATACACTTACAAAACTTTATTTACTTTAATCAAGTTATAGCTATCATTACCTTTGGGTAAATAGGCAAAATTTTTTATTTATGTTCTAATTGCCTTATTTTATGGCTGATAATGAACAGTTGTTATCTGTTATCATTGTCAGCCAAACCAATGCTTTAAATATTATATTTAATTACTTGTTCCCAGTATATTAATTAAATTATTTCAATTATTTTCTAGATGAAATACTATTAATTAATAAATCTTGATATTATGCATAATTTAATTGTTTAAGCATGTCCTTTAAAATGTTAATGAATAAAATCAGAATTTCACTATTTGCAGTCTTAATTACTGACTTCAGTTAATGGTACGATTATTATTAATAGTATTAGTATAGGCGAGTTCCAAAATGATTACAGTAAACAGATTGTATTGTAATAAATTTTATCAATTATAACTACAGTATGGTCTTGTTTTATGTGGGATTGATATACACAGATTCATGTTTTTGAATATGGCAAATGTGATCAAGTTAACCCTTGGATGTGCAAGGATGATTTTGACTATTAATGCTCATGCTAAAGAGAAATGTTCAACATGAACTGGAAGCAGTTCAAACTACCTTTTCTTTATTTCCATCAAAAATCTTAATAAATAGAAAAATGTTTTTGGCCTAATTTATAGGCCAACATCAGGTGTAAACAATACCAAAACATAAATTTCTTACATTTTATTTGGAATGTTCAATAAAATGTTCAATGTTCATGAAGTTCAATAAAATTCTAAATTTGGTAAATGTATCGTGCAACTTCTTATCTAAATAGAATGTAAGAAATTTATATTTTGGTATTGTTTA